AGATCCTTTTTTCGGCCCCCGGAATCTGGTTATTCCTCCTGATCATCCTGCCTGGCTCTAACAAACCGGTTCAGGAACCACCAGTCACCTTCCAAGCCTGTACCAGTTTGTTTCTGGTCACTAACCGGTGGTCTCCACTTCCAGTGGTTCTGGTCCCAGTCGCTGGTGATTCATCCTCGACCTGCAGCCATTTGTTTCAATGAACTCTTTTACAACATCTGCTCTTGTGTGGCTGAAATCTGGGTCCTCTGTTTCCATTTGTCACAAATACTGTTAATTGTTGTAGAAACCCTGTAGTTTTAAATGGTGCACTTTGTTTGGCCAAGTTAGAGGTAAGCTACCAGAAACTAGTGCACTATGCACCCCTAACTGCACCCCTAACACTTTGGTTGCTTGAATTCCTCTTCTTTTGCTTCACATGGACCTATCTTCAATGGTCTGTACAGTGATCACTATTAAAATGATATCTCCTTTAGAATTAAGCAGATCAGAAAAAAGACGCATTTATTGAAAGCACCTCCTGTTCCCACTGGGATAGAGTAACTGCTATGAAGCTCTGCCACTACTCGGATCACTTCCTCCAGGGTTGTAAGTGGAATTAAAACAGCAATCAGTAATCATTCAGTTTACTTGAGTATTTTTTAGAAAATATATAGTCTTCAGAATAGTTTACACCATTTTACTTTTTACCTGTACTCCAGTAAAAATATGATAAAATATCACTACTCTTGAGTAGAATTTCTGGCTACTCCATCCATTGTCAATAACTTCACTCAATGAAAACAAGTTTGTGCTACACAAATATACAACTTTAAGAGAAACTGAAGGATTATTAGTTAAATGTGTTTTTGTTTTCCATTTGTTGAGTGAAAATACAGAAAACAGTTTACTGTAACTTAACCTGTTCTCACAAACTGCAACTATTGATTTTTGCAGGTTTTATAACTCAAAAAATATTAAATCATTTGTTGTAATCATTTTTAGTAAGTAGATCACTTTACTTTACTGGACTTCCTGCGGAGGATGAAGAGAGCCCACAAGCCACGAACACGAAACGCTGATATTTTCCAGAACGTTTGTCGTAAAGACGGAGACGTAAAATAAATGTGATAAATGTAATTACACATTGAACCAATAAGAGCAGAGTGTGAAGGTCCAATTAGCAGGGTAAGAGCACGGTTTTGCACAAAATATTGCAATGCACACAACAGTATGGGTGACATACTAGAGTTCAAAAGAGGACAAATTGTTGGTGCACGTCTTGCTGGCGCATCTGTGACCAAGACAGCAAGACTCTGTGATGTATCCAGAGCCACGATATCCAGGGTAATGTCAGCATACCACCAAGAAGGACGAACCACATCCAACAGGATTAACTGTGGACGCAAGAGGAAGCTGCCTGAAAGAGATGTTCAGGTGCTAACCAGGATTGTATCCAAAAAACATAAAACCACGGCTGCCCAAATCACAGCAGAATTAAATGTGCACCTCAACTCTCCTGTTTCCAACAAAACTGTCCGTCGGGAGCTCCACAGGGTCAATATACACGGCCGGGATGCTATAGCCAAACCTTTGGTCACTCGTGCCAATGCCAAACGTCAGTTTCAGTGGTGCAAGGAGCGCAAATCTTGGGCTGTGGACAATGTAAAACATGTATTGTTCTCTGATGAGTCCACCTTTACTGTTTTCCCGACATCCGGGAGAGTAACCGTGTGGAGAAGCCCCAAAGAAGCGTACCACCCAGACTGTTGCATGCCCAGAGGGAAGCATGGGGGTGGATCAGTGATGGTTTGGGCTGCCATATCATGGCATTCCCGTGGCCCCATACTTGTGCTAGATGGGCACGTCACTGCCAAGGACTACCGAACCATGTGCATTCAATGGTTCAAACATTGTATCCTGAAGAAGGTGCTGTGTATCAGGATGACAATGCACCAATACACACAGCAAGACTGGTGAAAGATTGGTTTGATGAACATGAAAGTGAAGTTGAACATCAGCCATGGCCTGCACAGTCACCAGATCTAAATATTATTGAGCCACTTTGGGGTGTTTTGGAGGAACGAGCCAGGAAACATTTTCCTCCACCAGCATCATGTCGTGACCTGGCCCCTATCCTGCAAGAAGAATGCCTTAAAATCCCTCTGGCCACAAAAGGAGGCCATAAACCATACTAATAAATTATTGTGGTCTAAAACCAGGTGTTTCAGTTTCATTGTCCAACCCCTCTATATTAATGCTCTGAACTTCCAGATCAATGCGTTTTCTGCACCATCTTTTTATCCAGAACTGTTTACATTTGATCACTGCTGCACTTTAAGGAATGGAAATGTTCATTTACTGTCTGGAAAGCAGGACATAATTGAATTTAATTCTGTATACACTCTGGTTATACAAAATGACAATAAAAGTTGTCTAAGTAAGTCTAGATCACTTACTCAGTACTTAAGCCGGGCATACACTGCGATTTTTTTCATCATTGCACGCAGCTACAGCCCACACTGTACGAGGAGACACAGGGTTTTCTCGTACAGTGGGAGTTCACAGCTCCAAACCTCCAAGAATTCTCAGCGGGCGCTTCTCGCCCACTCCTAGGTTGTTCCTGTGCCGCAGTTGGCGGCCCCCTTCGATGATGTTCCAGTGCCGCAGTGGGCGGTTCCCAAAGTCGCTGTTGCATCAGAGACGGCCTTCTCCTAGGTCGATGGACCACGACCTCAAGGAAACACCTTAACCTGGGTAAACCCTGTCCGCCCTCCAACGAGCAAGTCAATTACCGGAACAACCCACACCTACTGGATTCAGAGAAAGACACCTTTACTGGAAACATGGGTCCTGTTACCTCTATTCCCTTTTGCAAATTGAAGCTCAAATTTCCCACTGAGCCTGAACTGACCAGAGGAACTTCCCCTTCACTTTTCAGTCCCGGTTCATCAGTGTTCAGAGCAGCACTGGACCCATCTCTATCAGTTCTGAATAAACCTGTTAAACCTTCCATTGGTCTCTGTTTGGTTTTCTGCATGTGGATCAGATCTTAGAATAAAATCATGACATTATTAAGTATAACGTTTTATATACCCAGATAATTTTAAGCATTTTAAGTGGTCATTTTGACATTTATCAGCTTGACTTTATATGTATCGGTACAATAGCTGGAATAAGGGGATCTGAGATCTATATCTAGATATCCAGTATTTCTATTTTAGATGTGAAGTTTGTCATTTGTTTGAAATTTTCCTTTCGACAACGAAAACATTTTTTTATTTATAGATATCAGAACTTCATATTCATTCAAACTAATACATACCAAAACGACTTGCCATAGCTTGCTGTAACCATGTTTAGGACACCAATCTTCTTTGTTTTTTTAGGAGCACTCTCTATTTTTAGACTTGAAATCATTTTATATCTTCCAATAAAAACACAACCAGATGAAGGATTCCTATAAACATGCTTGATAATGAATCACAGCTGGTAGGCTGCTTCCTTCAGCCATAAATGTTTATCCCAACCTGTTCCTGTAAGGCAGGAATCGCCAGTCAGCTGATCGGCGAAGGTCATGGTTTTCACTCTGCAGCAGGGCTGTGAGTCTCTGAGTGCTGAAGCAGGGAAACGTGGCGCAGCCATCAGGCAGGCGGCTCCATTGATTAACAGACTTTTCCTATTTTTGCCCCAGAAATTGGCTTCCTCTGACGTGTTGTTTGTTTTCTGGAAATGAGGCTCTGTGCCACGCTCTTGTGTGCACACACCATGGAGGGCTGCTTCCAGCTGAGCCACTCTGCATTTAAAGCTCGCAGCCAAAAGCTTCTCACATGAAGAGCAGCTCTGAGGAAAAACCCTCTGAGTCTGACTGCAGAAATCTTACTTTCCATTCAGTCACTCTTCTTCCTGATGCCACATTATTTTTGGCCCCATTGTAGACGTGAGCACCCCCCCCCCCCCCCCCCCCATCCACTTACAGAGGAATTGTTTTGGTTGCCGGTGGCTGTGTGCTGTCACAGCTTTAAAGTGGCTTTAACCCCCCTTTATTTTTGGGGGGTTTCAGTGTGAGACTACAAGGTCAATTCCAAACATAAGCTGATGAGCAATCAATAGATCAGAGCTGTGGCGGTCAGCTGCTGGTGTGAGGTACGTCGAGGAGAAAGGTGGGGGTTGGGGAGTAAGCCTGGGGGCTAAACACAGTCCCTCTATCCACCCTCTATCCCCACCTTCCACTCCACCTCCCTAAGCATGGGTAACTCTGGAGACCATGATTAATTCATGGTGGATTACGGTGTGCAGGCAGAGGAGGAACGGGGATTGCTTGTGGTTCAGCTGTACTCACCGGGTTAGGGAGATAAAGACGACCTGGAATTAAGGCCACAATCCCGCCGCTCCGCTTGCTTCGCTACACGAATAAATAAATTATTTCCTTCAAACGATTACATCTTATTTTTAGGGTTCTTGATTATTATTGCCTCTATTTTCAAGGAAAACTTTGTCTGCATGAATCCCAGAAAGTTCTGTGATTCACTGCTTAGACGGCGGCAGCAGGAAGGCTGTGGTCACAGCAGACTTCCCTCCATCCTTCAGATAACGGCTCCCACTCATCAGATGACCTGAAGGAACTAGAAGAAAGTGGAAGCAGCTGTGCATCAGCATTAGCTGTGGAGTTACTCCCCCTTGTGTTAGCCTCAAACGCTTTCCTCTGCTGGAGAAATCTACCATCAGATGTCTTTTGGAAATGCTGCATCACAAACCTCCCTGCAAAGCAGATGTTCTGATATCATCTCCCATCTGACTTCTGTCTTTTCCTCACTTTGCACCAAGAGCTATTGCTGCTCCTCTCTGATGAGAGCTGAGCGGCCGATGCTGACCGCAGGTTCGCCTCTGCAGCCTGCAGCAGGGTGACGATGAGGGCCGCTGCTGAGAAAAGGCCCAGAATTCATTCTGCAGGTTTTCTAGTTTATTAGAAAAACAGTTTGCTGAGTTTATAGAGTGAATGGTCTAATATGCACTGCAGGTCACATCAGCTTAGCTTTATTCAAACATTAAAGACATGTGATGAAGACTCGATGCTCCAGCTGAGAGCCACCAGACCGACCATCCAGTTTTTCATAGTTTGAATTTTCATCTTTGATGACACAAAAAATAAACCTAAGTATGTTTATAGTAACACTTTGATGAAAGTAGACTAAAATAATTCAGTCAATTCCTCCTTTAAGCGCTGCAGCAGCGTCTGAGCTGTCATTTAAAATTTGGCAAATGTCTACTTTTCTTTAGTTTTTATTGTAGTTTTTCTTTTTCTGTAAACAACATCTCGTACAAACTAGCACAGTGAAGCACAACCCCAGAAAATGGATTTTTATCTCCATACAATATAAATGAAATCAATACAAAAGTTTGGTTGGTTGCTTGGAACATTTTATATCGATCAAGAGGTTCTAAAACACGCTGTCGAGACTTCAGGACTCCTGAATTTCTTAGATTACGTAAACAGTCGACTGTTCAAAGTCCTCTTTAGAACCCAGTAGAGAGTTTTTCGAAGGTAGATTTCTGTTCAACAGTTCAAGTTCATCTCCATCTGAAATAAAGGGCTTAGAGTCCACTGGGTCGTTGAACTGGTTTTACTGCATGTCGAAGGCAGAAGTCCTCACATTTGGTGGAATCTGTAAAATCAAATAAAAAGGGCCGTTTCCTCGGCCTTCGGGAACGGCTGAGCGTCGGCATGGCGGAGCCTCAGAAGGCCCAGAGGTGAGAGCGCCACTCAGCCGGGTCGGCCCAAACCCGCCGTTCTCTCTTCCACGGTCCCACATGTCTGCTTCAGCTTGGTGGACAGGAAGGGGTCCGGCTGTAAGGGGCCGCTGACAGGAAGCAGCAGGGGCAACATGGCGTCCAACGCTGGAGATAAAGCATGACGGGGAGGGGGGGGGGGGGGCTCTTTTTTCTTTAGCAGCCAGGATGAGCGAGGGATTAAAAGAAGCTATTAAACCACCGACACGTACAATACTGAACACAACGCTTTAGCACAGTTTGTATGCCTGATCAGGTTTGAAGAGAAAAGAATTTGAAGAAAAGCAAAGATGCCAACATAAATAAATAAATATAGATATAAAAACAGCAGTCTATGAAGTCGCCCTGTCCCCTCTGGCCCCCTCTGGGGCCCTCTGGGGCCCCCCGGCCACATCAACACCTCGTCCTGCCGTCCTCCGTGGCTGTAGATGGGTCCCCCATGCCCGACAGCTACCACACCGTCCCCTCGTTCATTTCTGAGGGCGGGTGGGACAGGTGGTTGTTGTATCCGCTGCCGTTCAGCGATAGTGAGGTAAAGGGTGGACTGGGGCCAAACACCTCAGAGGAGATGCTGTGCAAGGGCCCCGGGATTCCAGGCTCCGGGCTGGGAGAGTCCCCCGGGTGGTGAGACATGATATCAGAGAAGCGTTGAACGTCGGTGGACGGGTGATGGCCGGGCAGCGGGTGGTCCATGCCCCCCAGAGGGGTCCCTGTGGGGCCCGAGGAGGGCACGAAGGGGAGGTCCACCGGCGTCTGGGCCTGCGATGACGGAGCGCCCTGAGGGAAGAAGTCATAGTTCCCTCCGGGGCCGTAGTACTCGCTTTGATAATCTGCAACCCAAGAGGAGAAGAAGAAGTCAGCATCGGACTGGGAGGAACCAGAACCAGACTGCTGCCTGTTGGACCAGAACCACAGAACCAGACTGCTGCCTGTTGGACCAGAACCACAGAACCACAGAACCCAGACTGCTGCCTGTTGGACCAGAACCAGCAGAACCCAGACTGCTGCCTGTTGGACCAGAACCAGCAGAACCAGACTGCTGCCTGTTGGACCAGAACCACCAGAACCCAGACTGCTGCCTGTTGGACCAGAACCCCAGAACCCAGACTGCTGCCTGTTGGACCAGAACCCCAGAACCCAGACGGCACTGTGCCTCCTGTTATTTAAAAGGTTCTACAGATGAGAACCACTTTCACAAACTTTCTGTTTTCGATCAAAGCAAAGAGAAGCTCTGAAAATTAGCCCCCACACACACACACACACACACACACACACACACACACAGTGTAATAACACCAATGCTCATGTTTTGCTAAAATCAGCTCCAGTCTGATTAATATTTCTCCATTTCTTTTAGATTTTATTTTTCATGGATTCCATTTATTTTTTGTCTTTGTGTTTTTTTATTTTTTTGTAGAGAGCGGATTTAATATTTGTCTTTTTTTTCTTTCCACCAAATGAAATGTCAGCATTAAGCACTGAGCGGTAGAATCTGCTAAAGCTTCCAGTAGAAGCTTCTCCTCTCCAGGAGGAGATCCGTACCTCCATAGTAGGAGAAGGGTCCGTTGGGGAGCAGCTCTCCGGGCTCCAGCCGGTCCACTAACGTCCTCATCCGCCTCGGGCTGCGGAAGAAGGCGTGCCGCCGCGCGCCCAGCGCGCTCAGCTGCTTCATGCGCCTCTCTTTGGACCGACGGTTCTGGAACCAGACCTGAACAGAACACAAAGTTCCTGAATGCTTGAAAAGATGGCGAATTTATTCATTTAGTGAATTTATTCATTTAGTGAATTTATTCATTTAGTGAATTTATTCATTTCACTGAGCAGAAATTAGATTATTAGATTATTATGTTTCTCCTCATCGAAAAATAAACTAGATATTTTTCTCTGATTCATTAAAGGAGGAGAAATACCCCCCCCCCCCCCAACATACACACACACACATTGACTGTGGGGTGGGGGGGCTGTTACTGAGATATTAGCGGGTTTTCATTTTCTAATCTACAGAGCAGCTTTCTGTAATTAAACATCTTCCATTAATAATTTCATATTTTATAGGCACCAAAATCCGAGAATATTTTAAATCTGTTTTTATTTATCTTATTATTGATGAAGGTCAGAATTTTATTAATTGACTTTATGGAGGAGAAAAGTGGAAATAATTAAAGTATCGCTGCCGAAGAAGAAATAATAATAAGAATAATAATAACTAATATCAATATATAATATTATTAGATATTATTATAACTGAGTTATAATAGCGCCCAGAAAAAAAATATTTATGATCATAATAATAATTATTCATCTTTTCTGGTCACTATTAGAACTCAGTTCATCAGTAAAACCTCCAAAAAACTTCATGATGCATGATGGCTGCGCTCTGCCAGAACTCCCAGCAACCAACTGGTACCAGTTAGTACCAATTGGTTCGGCCCTCCGCGCGGGGCCAGCCAGCATTCCGGCCCCTCTGACTGAGGCCGTTTCCGAATAAAGCGGCCTGTTTGGGCCAGAGTCCGGCTGTAATTAGGGGCCCTGACCCATTCAGAGCAGAAGGTGGAGGGGCCCCTCCTCACCTGAATCACCCGCATGTTGAGGCCGGTCTCCTGGGCCAGCTGCTCCCGGATGTGCCGCGTGGGTTTCGGGGTGGCAGCGAACGCAGCCTTCAGGGTCTCCAGCTGCTTGGCCTTGATGGTGGTGCGGGGCCCCCGCCGCTTCCCGCCCAGGTTCTGGTCATCGTTCTCGTTGTTGACCGTCTCCTTGTCGGACAGGGCGGCCATCTCTGTGTCCTTCAGGACCACGTCATCCTGGAGCGGGTCCTGGGAGTCCGGGGACAGGCTGGGGTCGCTGCATGCGGTGACTGCGGGGACACGCAGAACAACGCAGCGGGATTTACATTCTAGCTGATCTGGTTCTACATCAGAAACAGGAAGATTTCAACTAAAATATCTGAAACATGATCTGAGCTTCAGGTAATTAAAATATGACTGATGAGAAAAAGATCAAACAAGAACAAAATTCTTATTAATAATTCTCACAAAACTAAGAATTAAACAATAATAATAATTATTATTATAATAACCTGGAACTAGTCATTTCTAACGCGTTAATTTCTACATTAAATCTTAATTTTTTTTAAACTTTAGTTGTTTTTTTTTATAATCCAATCTCATCTCGTCAGGTGTGTGGATAAAGTCCCGCCCGGCCACCGTACCTGACAGGAGGTTGGTGTCTTTCACGCTCATGTTGGTGAGGTAATCGTCCTTGCAAACGAACTTGTTTTCGTCTATGATGTAGAGCTCCTCTCCGGTGGAAAGCTGCTTGTTGCACATCATGCAGGTGAAGCAGTTCAGGTGGAAGACTTTGCTGCGCGCTCTGCGCACCAGGTCGCTGGGGGAGATTCCCTGCGCGCAGCCGCCGCATTTGGTGCCGAACCTCCTGAAAAAGGAGAAAAACACCTGATTTAAACTTCTTCACATTATTATTATTATTATTATTATTATTATTATTATTATTTCCTCAGCCTGAAAAGATTAAAGAAACTTTTCCCAGAATAAAACCGAAACATTTACTAATATCAATATTTCTGTCAGACGAAATAAAATAATAATTTTAGGGCCTTAATTCTTTAAATGAACATTTATTCCTTAATTTAAAAATTACAGCTAAATAAACATCATGTGGATTTCGGAGCTAAATCAGCATTTTTATCAATAATTAAAAGTTATTTTATGCCCAATATAATCATTATTATATATTTAATCAAATAATAACAATAAATGTGACATTTGTTCCATTTTAAGGTCAATCATTTTATAATTTTAACTGATTCTTTTCAGACAGTTTATTAATCTGACGGCTTCATTCTTCATCATCCGGCATCTTTTTCTTTTCCTCTGCGTCATCAGGTCCTGATCGTCTTTGGATTTTATTCCAAATCTCCTCGCGGTGATTTAAAGAGCGCTTTAGTTCAAAGGAGGAAGACCTCCAGTGTGTATTGGCAGTCTGTCATTGTTTAGTCTGTAGACTTGATCTAATCCACTTAGCATCTCCTCCTCAGCCGGACTGCGCAAACAGAGCAGGTACCGCTGCGGGTTTGATCCTGGCTGCGTGGAAAAATTCACCCACGTGTGATTTCCTCGCTTCCCTGTTTTCACGCCTTTTCTCGCTGAAGCGACGCGCTGGACGCTGCTGCGCTTTATGTTTATGTTTCCAAGGTTAGAAATTAACTGTTAGTCACTTTAAGATGAAATAGAGAAATAGAATATTTATCTGCTGTTGATGAATAAACTGATAAATATGAATAAAGAGGCTCTGATAAAAACACTGTTAATAAACACAATAAACATTCCGCGCAAACTGTCATTTTCTTTATCAAATTAGTTTTCATTGACCCTTACACACATATACACACTATATATATATATATATATATATATATATATATATATATATATATATATATATATATATATATATATATATATATATATATATATATATATATATATATATATATATATATATATATATTTTATATATATATATATTTTTTTTTAATATAATATTTGGTTCCGATTTTTCTACAGCTTCTCTTCTTTCTGCCACTTTCAGGGCCTGTAAACTGCTGATGGGAAATCTATTTTATTTTATTTATCAGTTCTTTTTTTTTACCTGCTGCCTTAACAAACCAACTGGTCCCAGTATAGTCAGAGCAGGTCCCAGTATAGCGCTCCCAGTTCCTCCCCGGTCTTACCTGAAGAAGTCGTTTTTGCAGTAGAGCCTTCCCTCCCTGGAGAAGCATTTCTCGGTCAGGTTGCATTTGCACTCGCAGCACTGAACACACTTGACGTGCCAGGCTCGGTCCAGCACGTTGAGCAGGAACCGGTCCAGGATAGGCCGCTCGCAGCCGGCGCAGTGGACCATGGCTTCGGCTGGCCTCGCGACAACCCCCCACGAGCAACGCGCGCGCACAAACCCAATCAGCGGCGCATTGACCGGGCGCGTGGGTTCTGCCTCAGCTGGTTCCGCCTCCAGCTCCCGGGTCAGTGTTCGCAGACAGGCCGGTCGATCAGCTGTCAGTCCGGATCCACATGAGCAGAAACGGCCTCAGAGCTCGGAACCCCCGCAGGGCATCAGTCCTTCCGTGGGCCCGGGGCGGAGCAGAGGCAGACCAGGTGCGGATGATCGGAGGCGGCTTGTTCTCCCCGGCGGTCGGAGGTGATGCATCGGTCAGCACGCAGAGCGCGCGCCGGTCAGCGGCACAGAAGAAAAGCTCTTCAGATCAAACATGGCTTCGATCCATCCTCAGCAGAAACAAACCAAACAGCCAGAGAAGTTCTCTCCCCTCCGGCGCGGCGCCGGATCCTGCAGCGGCGCCGGGATCCCCTCAGTCTCCGGTAGAGTGCGCGTGCCGGGATGTGACGGGGTCTCCGGTTCACTGTCTTGCTCCTAAAGCTCCAACACCAGCCTTATTCCCATCCTCCTGACGTCAGGTGGCGATCGGACCAATCAGAGCGGCGCCACGCGAGGAGCCATCAAAGCTCCCCATCAAAAGCCAGCCCGCGCGCTGCCCGCTATTTATGCCGAACACTCAGGACAGCAATTGTCAAGAATTTGCCTCCAAAGTGTCAAATGTTGGTGTGTCTGCAGGAGGCTGCGGGAGGCTGCGGGAGGCTGCGGGAGGCTGCGGAGCCTTGGAGGAGGAAGAGGAGCAGCTTCATCCACACTCCTCCACGCGCGCGCTCTGTTTACTTTTTGCAGAAAATCCGGAAGGCCTCCAACTTCATGCAGCTCCAGACCTGAACTGTTTGGACTCATCTCCCAGCAGGAGGCTGCGCACTGCCGGCGGCTTGGAGAGGAAGGCCGCTGCTGCTGCTGCTGCTGATGATGATGGTGATGATGATGATGGTGATGGTGATGATGATGATTGCATTGATGATGATGTTCCTCGTGCACGGAGGTGGCGCGCGCATCCCTGCCATGTTCTCTTGTGGAAGTGAAAGACTGAAAGGCTCGAATGTTGACAGCTGGTCCAGGAGCTGAATCCACTCCCACGCGGGAAGAACTCCCACTCTGAGCAGATAAGTCACCTTATTGTCTTACAAACATTTTCTGACATTTTATTTGCTCACAGAAAAGATAAACTGTTGCCATAAAGTTTAGAGAAAAGACATAAAATATACTGGACCCCCCCATTTAGAAGAAAACAGAACATTTGATCTAAAGCTAAAAGCTGTTATAGATGCGCTGAGAGTTAATCTGGATAATCTGCCAGGTCTATAGAAATATTGAAGCAGATTGACACTACAGGCTCCTCCAGGAATTCATGAACCGAACCAGTAATCCAGCAGCCAGTTGTTACTGGGAACGCTGGCGCAGCCTGTGGGCCCAGTAGCAACAAACCAAACTCTGTTCCTCTGCTTATCTCACGATGTTTCCACAGATTATGGAAATCTATTAAAGGGAGAAAGTCATAAGAATTGAAAAGGATTTTTTCCCTGTCGGATTAATTTGTAAGGAGAAAATCTAAACTTGTTTTTCTATGTCTTCCGCCTCTGGATGAAGATCAGGTGATTATGAGGAGGCAGAGGAACCAGAACCCAGCGGGTCATCAGGCCCTGATCGCTCCTCACTGCAGCTGCTTCTCTAAATTATTCTGACTAGATTAGGATTCATTCATCTGACTGACAGTAATGAGCCTCAGCTAACGGTCCGAGCTGCTCCACTTCCGTCCACCCGTGGCTCCGGCAGTGATCCACGTCAGTGCGTGGGTCCGCAGCCAGAACCGGATTCCGATGTGAACTGAGGCCAGATTATCGAACCGGCAGCAAACATTATTCCAGCCTCCAAGAAATCCGATGAGATTTATAGATTATAGATCATCTCCCTGCAGCTGTCCCTTCTCACCCCCCCACCCCCCCCCGGTGGGCCGATCAGAATCAGAAGGGGGGGGGCTTTGGTTTTATAAAGAATATAAGAAGTTTGAAATAATTAAAACATTAATAAATAATTATTAACCTTGATGGACCCACTGCTTATTATTATTATTATGATTATTATTATTATTATGATGATTATTATTATTATTATTATTATTATTATGATTATTATTATTATTATTATTATTAATAATAATAAATTTCATTGTTTCATGATTTTTTTAAGCTGAATTAAATGTTTAAATTTAGGACGTGTTTAAGTTACAGTAACAATAACTAATAAATAGCTTCTGTTCTTAAAAGCAATAATAAGGAGCAATTATTATTTTTCTGTTTTTCTTTTTGGTTGATTTTTTTTGGGGGGGTTAAAATAAAGTGTTTTATACACTTTTAATATATAAAAAGATTATAAACCAACCATTATTACTATTGATAATTTTATTGCTGCTGTTCTTCTTGCTGCCATCATAACCGTTTTATTTGAAATTCTGACATCCAATAAAAGCAGTTTTTATTTAATTTGCTTATTTTATTTGATAGTTTTGTTTTAATCTCCGTGACTAAAATCTAAAGTGTTGATGAGGAAAGAATTGCTGAGATGAGGAAGAGGATGGTGGAGAGGATCGGCCTTCAGCGGCTCCTCTGCTTTAGATTAATGGTCCTGCGCGATTATTCTGCAGTCGGGGTGAAAGGGCTGCGATCACTAATGATTATAATATAATGTGCAGCGATAACCGGTCCCTCTGAGATATGATCGGCCGCCGGCCAAAGCTCAGGGGAAGAGCCGCATGGCTGCAGAGCGCCTGATAGCTGCTGCTGCTGCAGCTGCAGCTGCAGGAAGGAGGAGAGAGAGACTGTTTGCTGCTGATACATGCATTAAAGTCTAGAGGAGGACGGCAGACCATCACTGATTGCTTTTTGCTTCCATTGTCTGTTTCCCAAAAAATATCATGGCGCCCAATAAAAAAAGAAAAAAAAAGAAAAACATTTGTAAAAAAGACATAAATGCAGGAGGAGTCTCAGATCAGATCAGCTTCTGATTAAACTGCGTTAAATTTAGCATTTCAATGAAGTTATGGCTGCTGGAAAATATTAAAATCAACGTTTGAGAAAATCTTGATGATTGTTTGCAGCAGAAACTGGGATTATTTCAAGGTTTTAAATCAAACAACATTTAAAGCATTAAAGACATTAAATGTTCCCTAAAAAAAAAAAAAAAAATTCATTTGGGAATCCAGATTAATTTCCTCCACTTTGAGCGAGTTGATAATAACCAATTATACATAATAAACCACGTGACCACAGGCCGATTGATCTCTGCAGACCAATCAAATAATTAGAAATAAAAACTAAAAGGCTGCAGCGATGATTTTTATTAGAACAGCTGCAGATATGCAGCAATATCTGTCTGTGTGTCTGTGTGTCTGTGTGTCTGTGTGTCTGTCTGTCTGTCTGTCTGTCTGTCTGCAGCCCAGATGATGGAGGCTGGAGGCCTGACAATCAGCCCAGTTGTCCAAACCTCCTCCGTCCTCCATGGAAGGAGGTGTGGAGCTGCTCCTCCTCTGAGCTGTGGGTCAGAGGAGGAGCAGCGGGCCTCCAGGAAGCAGCTGGATGTTCTCTACAGCAGCGCGTAACTTTGGAGAAGCAGATTAGGCAGAAAATCCCGAATCATTTTGGGAATAAAGTGATCAATAATGTAGCAAAGCAAAGCAAGTGACTGTTGAATGCACACTGCTGCGGCGCCGCTCCGTCATCCGTCTCCAGGATCCGCGGCTTCCCTTTAATGTCCCATAGATCAGCGGACAGACAAAGCTTTATTTCCACCAGGAGAGAAATATTTTACCTCCGCCTCGCGCCTTTATTTTGGAGAGGTGTCAGCGGCTGCAAATAAATGGCTGATGCATAAGCAAAGCGCTGCTTGCCTCGGCATGCTGCACGTCAGAGCGGGGCTGCGGGGATTTAGGGCCCCCAGGGGCCCAGCAGGGATGCCGGAGCCTCTCATGGAGTCAGAGCCCAGAATGCATTACTGGTACTGGCCCATTATTCCAGACTGGGAAAACATTTCAACACCAGGCTGCTTGGTTTTTCTTTGCTTTTATCAGCAGAAGGTTGATAAAAGTTCCATTTGTTTAAAGCTCTTTTTTATGAACTTAATGAGAAACGTTCTTTGTTCCAACAGACTGAAACACCTGGAGTGTTTGGGGCCCCAGCAGGTGAGGCTCTGACTGGGAGCAGCTTCCTCTGGATGGAGGCAACGTTTCCTTTAAAGGTGGAAAATAAAGGATTCATGGAAAAACTGCTGCTTGTTGATCTTTAAGCTGATTTATACTGAAACGCAACATTTGATGAAATCATTTTAATATAAAACAAACAATTAGCTTAGAGTTCATTTAGATTCTTTCTCTCTCTGAATAATATTTATTCATCCAGTTTTTGTTTTATAGGAGAAAATAGTTCAACCTCAATTTATGACATAAACTCTGCAGGAAAATGTTTTATTCTTTATAATGAGTCGCTGCTACACTGTAAAATCTCATTCTTAAATCAGTTCAGATAATTAATTCAAACTATTGAATAGAAAAATCTGACCAGGTATTTAATCCCTGTTTTCAAGGTTACAGGAATATTTTCTATTGATATATTTTATCATCTTTCCTACAGTCACTAAAGTTACTATTGATTGAATTAATCAGTATTTAACATGATAATGCTGCCATGATGGCAAACCGATCATCCAGCTCATCCTAATCTCATTCCATAATCTGCTCCCGCTGAAGTTGAACAGTCTGGATTTAATCCAACATGTTAGCAGCAGCGCTAACCAAACCACAGCTAACTAATCAGCCAATCAGAATCTGCACAAATATTTCTTGATTAAAGTTCATTTGTTCCTTTTCACTGTTCTTAATCTGTTAACAAATAATTTGGATTAATCCAAAGGTTAGACTGAAATAGCTAAAAATAAACAGCTGTGGCTCATTAGCCTATTAGCATTAGCAGAAACATTGAGTGAGAATAATGAGCTGGAACATTCAGGTTCCTGTGGATCCGTCAGCAGCGTAAATAAAAGAGATAAAATAAAAATAATCTGTGATATGAAAACTCTTCTCAGAAGGTTCATCCGCTGCTAACTCGCTTACATCGATTCAGATTTCCTCTCTAAGCAGCAAACAGGATTTAGTGAGCAGCTGGAAGCGGAGCGCCATGTTTCCCACATGCTAAACAGGAATCTTAAGAAGAAATTTACAGCATTCCTGAATCGCTGCATATAAACATTTCATCAGAGCGTTGCTGTGTTTGATTATTCAGCAGATAATCTGCTGCAAACTGGGATTCCTCTACAAATGAGCAGGGATTCTAACTAGCATCTTTAATTGATTACTGCCATACGAGCAACTTTTCATTTTAACGGGACAATTTATTCGTGGGAGGAGATTATCAGGGGGGGGGGCTCTATGAGCCTGCATCTACTTTCTGAATTTGGGGAGGAGGAGGTAAATCCTCTGGATGGGATTGGCAGTCATGCCCCCCCCGCCTCCCGGATGGAAGTGGCCGTCCACGCAGTGACCTTCCTGTTGAGGGGGGGGGGGCTCAGTGGATTACCAGATAATGACACTGGAACCTGCATTAAGATTCACATTCACCGTCTCTCCACATGACCCCGTTCCCCTTCGTCCCAGACCTCCCAGTCCTTCTGGCTAAATGGGAGAAAAACAGATATTTGACTTTCTGCTGAGATTTTATTCATCTTTGAGCCGCAGGAGGTCGTCCAGCTCCCAGCGGAGCGGGATCTCTCATCCTGACCACCGAGACCACGGCCAGTCTGTAGACGACGGTCAGTCTGTAGACCACGCTCCAGTCTGCGTCCATCAGACTGAAGACCAACAGCTTCATGCTGGTTCTCTGAGCTCCTGCTGAGCTGAGGGGAGGTGGAGCTGCTCTGCTCTGAGTTTGGGATGAGAAGTTAGTGTCTGAACTCTCCAACATTTTAAAGGAATAGTACACCCAAAACATGATTAGCCTTCATTTTCTACTCACCCACATGCTGAACAACACTCTGGAGTACTTTTTTGATATCTCAAATGCATCTGGAGATCGGGGAGGCTTCTTGCTGTCTGCTGACATTCAAATAATGGAGGTCTATGGCGCCCGAGGCAGAAAGGTCCATAAAAGTCCACAAAAAACGTGTCAATATTCCTCCATACTGCTCGTCCAATGTATTCCAAGTGTCCTGAGTGGGTAGCATCCAGAATTTACTCGAAACGAAGTCATTTAGAATGTTTTTAGAGCATAAACAGTAGTGTATAGGATTTCCTAAAAGCGCGTTCATGACTCTACGGAAACCGCGGCAGACCAACCCAGATGAAAGTGCGCATTCAGCTCTACAAAGAACTCATGCTCTTCCTCAACACTGAAGTCCTCAGACATTTTTCTTTCGTTATTTCTTTCTTTGCACAGGTAAACAGCACATTTCTTCTTCTACGCTTGCATTATCGGCAGAGCAGACGCTGAATGCGCACTTTCATCTGGTTTGGTCTGCCGCGGTTTCCGTAAACTCGTGAACGCGCTTTCAGGAAATCCTATACACTACTGTTTATGCTCTAAAAACATTCTAAATGACTTTGTTTCAAGTAAATTATGGACGCTACCCACTCAGGACACTTGGAATACATTGGACGAGCAGTATGGAGGAATATTGACACGTTTTTTGTGGACTTTTATGGACCTTTCTGCCTCGGGCGCCATAGACCTCCATTATTTGAATGTCAGCAGACAGCAAGAAGCCTCCCAGATCTCCAGATGCATTTGAGATATCAAAAAAGTACTCCAGAGTGTTGTTCAGCATGGGGGCGAGTAGAAAATGAAGGCTAATCATGTTTTGGGTGTACTATTCCTTTAAAGCTTCTAGTTTGAACTGATTATAGAAAGTTTCTAGAAGCGTTTTCAGCCAATATAAAAAATGTTGGTGAAACTAAAGCAGTTTATTCTGGTTCTGGTTCTGTCCATCTCTGGTTCCAAGGAGTTCTACTGATACCGCATCAGACCAAACCTCCCCGCCCCCCCCAGCAGGAGCAGCTTCTTCTTCAGACGTTTAACCGTCTTTCATTTTTCCATCATTTCTGCTCACTAACAGACTTCTGAGCAGAAATCTGGATAATCTGTAAAACGTAGATTTTCTAGTTACATCCTGATATATTCTAAGCTAGATTAAAGGAGGGCTGCCGTCTTTTATTCTTACATCTATGCTACGTTTGCCCAGCGTGGCTGTGCTCCTTCGGCCTCATGCTGTGAGCAAATGTTAATGGGATAGTTATGCGGCCGCATGGAGAAGCTTCTCCTCTCCTCACTCTGCCTGCAGATAAGTTGAAAAGGCTATAAGGTCACAACCTCAGAGGGAATGTTTTACAGCCAGGCGGCCAGGGAGGGCTAATTGGTCTCCGCTGGAGCATGCTGCTGGTGCTTCACACCCAGTCAGAGAGGAAGAGGAAGGGAGGAAGAATGCCATGCAGGTTGGTGTTTGGTGGGCCACTGATATGGCAGGTGGTGGTGGGGGGGGGCTGTAATTCTTCATGGTCGATGGACGTCAGCAGTAGAGCCCATCCTCCTGCGCCTGCCTCAGATATCAGCAAGGAATCAAGCAGGAAGATTCTTATCACAGTCTATGTTGTAAAAGTCTATGTTAGACTGAAGCCATAAAATGTTAAAACTGCAGCGAGAAAAATGTTCAATAAAATCCAGGAATGATTTTCTCTAAACTGGAAAATGAATCAATTTATTTCAGTTTATTTAATTTCTTGAAAATCTGGATTGTTTTTCTAAAAATCAACTATTTGTTATTGTTTGTTTCTGGCGGCCATCTTGGATTTAATCTACAGGATGAAAACTTTTACTAGTCTTAGTCGCATTTTAGTCGTTACCATATGTGATAGTTTTACTCGGTTTTAGTCGACTAAAGGATTTAGTCTAGTTTTAACCTTTACAAGTTTGAATACCAACCAGATTCTTTCCCAGACTGGCAGATCTATCCTAGATGCTGCAATAGCTGGGTATAGAATGCTGCCGTGCAGATCATCATTGATGTTGGACTGAAAACTTTGATTTATTAAATTCAAATCAACATTTTTATGAATCAATACCCTACTCTATAAAAAAGTGTTTCACAAAAGCTGTGAAAATAGCAGATCTAGTTCAACACATCCTATTGGTTAATATAGCAGATCTAGTTCAACAGATCCTATTGATTAATATAGCAAATAGACAAGCTAACAAAATGTCCAATAAAGGAATTATTTTATCATCCAAGGTTTCCATCCCAAAGCAAACACTTCCTGATCTACTATGAATTAAGCATTACACACAGATCTATAAAATCTGCATTGATCAAAAAAAAAAACAAAGAACAAAAACATTCTTCTTTATATTTTGGTGATTTTAGTTTTATTTTGGAGAATTTCCCCCTCGGTTCCTGCTGCTCAGGCGTCAAAGTAGATTTAAATTCACATTTTTAAAAAAAAATACAGAGAGAACCTCCATCATTGCCTTTTAATGCCATGGCAACCCGGACCTAAATTAAATGAATATAGTTCTAAGATGTTGAAATAATTAAAGGAAACTTTAATGACAAAACAAGGAAACATTTACAACATATTAAAATAGAAATGAGAACAACGAGAGAGAAATATTCAAAGATCTATGAACCTTTTCATCCGGATCTTTATCCAGAAATAAACAGAATGCAATGAAATATTTGCTCTGGATATAATTTAGGTTTTCCTTTTGTTAGAAATTAAAGAATGTTTAGCATCTTTCTGGAAGAAATAAAATCTTGATAGTCAGACAAAGGGAATATATTATTATTGTTTTTAAATAATATGTTAGTTCTAGAGCAGCAACTCATTCCTGGTTTTATTTAATAAATACGTTAGTAACTGTTGGTTGATGTAGAGCAGACCTGCAGCTGAAGCTGAGATGCTGCTCTAGTTCTGCGGATCTAACAAGGAAACAGAAACATGTTGAATCTGAAGGAAAAGATATAAATAATGCTTCAGATTATGCTTTATATTATCTACATAAAATAAACAAACTTCATTTGTTTCTCCAACTTTAAGTTTAATTTAAACATTTTTATCAAATGAAAATAAAGGAAAGTGAAAGTTCTGAGCTGCTTGCTGTGAGTTTATCTCAGGATGTTTAAATATAAACCTTCACAGCAGCCGTTATATGGGAGTTTAAATATTTCTATATTTGTTTTCTGGGTTCTAGTTGCACACTGTGTGTCAGACAAGATGCTGAAAAGGA